AAAATATGCTTCAGACCATCTGAGATGGCCACTTGCATACTTAGGAGTATATAAAGACAGCCAAAACCTACAGTGATAATGCCCAGAACAGTTTTGCAGCTGGAAACTCTCTTCTTGTGTAAGACCTTCATAGATTTTTCTAATATGATTTTGTATTGTCACCATTTGGAAGCAATGCAAGCTTTTGCCACCAGTGACATTTTGTGGTAAAGTGTTCAACAGATTAAGTATGCCTATTGCAAAGAGACATCACTGCATTTGGCTTGTACCAGACACTTCCTAATTTGAATTGATTCTGTTGTATTAGATGTGGTATGTAATGACTATTTTCCATTAATCCTTTGTGCTTGTACAGATCCCTATCATATCCTGTTCAGTAGAATCCTTTCCAAGCCAAAGAATTCCCCTTTATTTAAATGGTTCTGTATGCAGAAGCTATTCTGTACCTAATTTTTTTTATTTTTACATCTCCTAGCTCTACCACATCCTTCTGGAGAGGAAGGGAAAAGAACTACATATGGATAACTGTAGATTCATGTAATGATTCAATGATGTTTTCTGTTTTGTTGTATAGTGCTTTCCTAATAACACCTAAAAAGAAACACTGTTCTTCTTTCCAAGAGCAAGAACCTTGACACAGCACTTTGCCAGATCTGTTGTATGCTCTATGGGAAATAGCCATTTCTGTTTTGCAGCACAGGCCTGTAAGTTGTAATTATCTCCTCAATTTGCTCTATAGCTATACCTTAACCTCAGAAACATGCAAAAATCTTCCCATTTATTTTTTTTTTATTAAACTCACATCAAATGCTTCTGTATGGCATGAACCATTAGCCTTCAGCCCGGTAATGCTGTAGGGCTCATTGATCAAATTTTCTCTCAAACATTTTGCCTTTTCCTGATGCTGCAACTATGTGTACAAGAAACTCCCAGCAGAAATCTATATTGTCACCAATGATCCTAATGATCACATTTCAAATATTTTCTTAAAAGTCATTTGTGTTGTGATGTCAACTTGCCTCATTAGAGCATTAGTTTAATATCAAATGAAATAAATCTGTAGCATTCATCTTTTAGTTTTTATCATGTAGGCAGATTGTATGATAGCTGGATGATGCCCTTTCTGGATCCTCAGGAAAGAGTGTTTTACAACAGCACAAACTGCTCAACATAGTTGGAAACCTAGATTCTCACTCACTCTTTTTCTTAGGTAACATATACATGACATACAATAGATGAAAGAGAAATTCACTTTTCAAATCAAACTATAAAATAAATTTGGTCTTCTAAAATAGATACAATGTGTTGAACTAAAGATTATTTCTCCTCCTTGCTCGCTGTGATATTGAAAATGAAAATATAATCCACTAGTTCTTCTGTGGCAGGTCTTTCTGTCAAATTTCAGTTAGGCACAAGGTAGTCTCATATTTAGCCTAATAAATGGTTGAAAACGTTAAATATTGCATGGCCACCACTGCTAAGAGATTTTGCGATCTACATGTTATCTCTTATGACCACATCATGCTGTGAACAAGTATTCCCCAAACTTACTCTTTTCCTGTTCAGAAATAAAGGGCACTGAATACAATTAATTCTCTAATAAATGGAAGAGTTCAGTAAAAAGCTGTAGCCAGCTCCAACTTACCATAATAAACAAAAATTAGTTGGGCACTGCTTGGTGCTTTTTCTTTTGTTAGGATATTTTAATCTCTACCATTAGGTACCTACACTGCTACAGTCAGAGCTTCTGCTCCTCAAATATATTATTGCCTTTGTGGCAATAAAAGAACCACTGTCTTTTTTTCAAAAGATTAAGCTGAAACTATCAACACATTTTGTGTTAGGGATGAAAATCAAGAAAAAATAAAACATTTTAGAGAAAGGACCTTTCATTAAAGATATTATTAAAAATATAATTTTGTTTCTGTTTTTAAGATGAAGTATGTAATTCTATTTGTTAAATAATGGTTATATCTGGTTTTGTTTTCTGAATTCTGACCTATAAAATTTGTATGTATTTCAATCTGAAAGAGATTACTCAATCCAGTACAGTAACTACCAATCTTAGCTTTCCAGTGTAAAGAGTGGGTTAAATTAACAGCAGTAATTTTATTTTCTATTTAATTATATCATATTTAAAGGGCAACAGCTGAAAGAACATTAGTATAATATTTTTCACATTTCTTTTGCAAAACATAATCACAGTTTGTGATGAACTGCAAACTACTGCAAACTACTAGTATTTTTTCTGTATTCATACTTCCTACCTATTTCAAACCTCTTAAAAATACTTTAACAGATCTTGAATGCTTTAATAGACTTATAGATAGGCAACCATATATATATATATGTATTTATGTATATTGGTTTTAAGTTGTTATAAATACTTTTTAAAAATTTTATTCTGAATCCATAAACATGCCCACTGCAAATAAAATTAGTAGGCTAAAAAAAAGAAGTGAGAGTAGAAATACATGCAATCTACCATGCTGTGTTTTCCTGTCAAAAAACCCAACCTTTCTTTTAGTCTTAAATTCAGCTACCATCTCAAAATTCCATAAACAGCAGTTGATATAGCTGAATGCATACACATATTAATTTATAAAGCTGTCAAAAACACAACTGGATTTTGATGCAAAAGAACACAAAAAAAAAGTTTCCAACACTTGGTGCATTTACATTAAGCTGTTTAACATTCCTACATAAATGTAAACATTTAAATCAATTTTTAGATATATATATATGTGACTAGCTAATTCATACACATTTTACAGTGAGGTTCTGCAATGCCTCCTGAAATTTGAAGGGTAATCCAATTGGAAACATGTTCACATAATGATATCAATGCCTCAGTTTCAGAACCCAAGTTGGAAAATACTGACTTACATTGTAAATTCTTCCTCTATAAAATTTCCTTCAAAACAAAATAATTGGTTCATGATAAACAGTACTTTTTTTGTAATTAAATTGCAATCTTTAAAAATGCACAACGAATACTGCATCCAATTAATTAGCCAGTTAAGGAAGACAGCTGTCCATTCCTGTCATTCTAAGGTTTTTAGTTACCAGTGTGCACAATGACTCTTAGCTTGCTTTCAAATTTTTTTGGACATCAGTTCATCAACTGTTATTTTCATATTTTGTAGAACAGAACCCTTAAATGGTTCATGACTTCACAAGGTATTTTCAGGTGATGAAAATAAATTTTCTATCATGCTAATCTACTGATATCATCTAATTTACTGATGTTCTTCTTTTCAGTAGCACACAACAAAACAATTTAGGATGATGAAAACAGTTCTGCCATTCTAATTTACTTATTACACAAGGCTCCTCATTTTAGCAGCTCATTGTCTTGATGAATCACGCAAAGTTTGAATGTAAAGGGCAACGAATTGTCCTTTTGAGATTAATGAAACTTTGTAAAAATAATTTGAAGTAAACTCTGAAAAAGTCTATGTGATCCAGAAAGTGTCAGCACTTTGAAGTATTATAGTAAATGCTGCTCTGCATTCAACTGATATTGCTTTACACTGAATAGGAATAAAGGCATCCATCAGAGAAACTGATGAAATATTTGATCTGTATTTTTATTTGTAAATTGTATTTACATAACTATTAAAGCATGAGATATTCTCAGCTCACCTGAGCAGGAAAGCACAAAATATAGCAGGCTACTTACAAAGATTTCTTTGAAGGGATCATTGTATGCCATCGGCAAGATGCTAATTACATAAAAAGGAAAGGATGTATGGTCTGGATTTCTTTTTCCTTGGGGAGTTAATTTCTATTCCTCTTAACTGCTTTTGGAATAAAAATCAGTCATGATTCAGCAGAAAACATATGCCTGAGATGATCTTTATCATGACTATAGCAATGTGCTAGGGACTGTTTATTTTACACACTTTTTAACATGTAAACCAAACTTGCATATTGATCTAGACACACGGAAATAAAAGATTTTTTTGTAAATGTTGACAGTTTTCAGGTTCCAAAATCAATCTAATAATAAACAACAGAAAAAGCTACAACTTTCATGTGTTTAAAACTGTAAGATCTGTAAAACAATGTTCAAAAGGCTGATAATCAGGAATTTATAATTTCTACATCTTGCCCTTCAAAAAATATACTTTACACGGACCTAAAAACCCCACTGACTTTGAGCAAAATGGAAAATGCAAGTGTAAATCAACTTCTGCTGATACTTTTAGAGACATTTTTATCTAAATCTCTGTTAATTTGCAATAAGCACTTGAATTTAAATTTCAGGCTGAAAGTGACTGCTCCATTTTTTTCCAAAGCATGACTACATTACCACTCTAGGACTTTTTAAATGATATGGTGAGCACGTTGAGTTTGTAATAGAGTTGCTTTTTTGTGTAAAAGATTTTAAGCTTCTTAAGAAAATCAAGAAAATAATTGAAGGGTTTAGGTTTTTGCATTCTTTAACTAATAAAATCAGGAGACTGTTGTGAGATCTAATGGCAAGTAGTTTGATGTCCTCAGCAGGACACCGAAAGTCAGAAGTAGTGCTGTAAATTCAGTGTGGGGCTTCGACACTGTGCTAAGTGTGGCCTGAATCTCTGGGGCTTCCCTTTGATGCAAGTGCAGTATATTAACTGGAAAAGCATTCGCTTTTATTTGTCTGTACTGTCTGCGACAGCAATATCGCCTCATTTAGGCTAGTTCAACATGAAAATGCACAGAGAAGCAATCTGTTATAAATTAGCACAGCTCCCCTTTCATTTTACTAGCTAGTAATTGGAAGGGGTTACAAAAGTGTAATTTATCAGATTATATGTGTTTATCTTTTTGTGGGGACAGCATGCCTTTGGTGAATTTTCCTATGCACCCTGAGGGAATAATCTTTCCTTGATGTCCATTAGATCAGAAAGAAAACAATGACGCCTGTGAAATATAGGAGGATAATTTGTTGGGTTTGAGAAGCAGTAGTTTCCCAGACATCTAAAATGGTATTAATGACTTTATTAGAACCTTACCGTTCCTTGGAAATACTTTTGCTCTCTCGTTTCCAAATGGTCTTGAAGTCACTGCAGAACTCGTACCACACTGTGAAAACGTAGTTTGGTGTGATCTCCTTCTCGCCAGGCTTTGGCTTTATCCCAAAGTATTCCACTGTTTCTTCAAAGCTACAAGGGAGGGGGAAGAAAAAAAACTATCAACACTTAAGTCCACTGGGGAAACAGTAGTCAAAGCTGGTAATTACTGTAACTTCCCATAACCTTGGAAATTTTAGCAGCAATTTACGCTAAGCATAACTAACCTTCCAATACCCACCTCATTTCCAGGAGGATAACTTACAGATGCACAAGCCATCATAGATGTATGTCACACTGGCAAATCATTGGCATATAATGCAAAAAATTTAACTTCTTGCATTTCAGGAAATGCTATATTATACCTATTTATTTAATTTTATTCTGTAACACTCCATGAAGATATTATTCTCCCATTTATGTTTATTGAAGGACTATGGAAGAGTCACATGCCAAGTCAGGAAAAAATCTCCAGGCTTGGTTAAAAATAATCTTCTAGTGTTTAGGGAGAACTGTGAGTAGCAACAAACAAGCCCCAGACAGTGTCAACAGTCAGTTTGCAAAACTTTCACTGAAAATAAATCATCTCCTTCCACATGTGTCAATAAACAAATGATTAATTCTACAAAAAAAGACACTGCCAATATTTTAATGGTTTTTTATTTCTTTTACAACGTGGCTACTGATTGCTATATGGCCGGATATTTCCAAAGTAGTCTTTTATTACAGATGGTATTTCCAAGAGCATTTTAACTGACTGTGCATTTTTAACCTTTATGGTAGTGCTTTGTATAGATAAAATGGAATGATCCACGTGGCTAGGTACTGATATAAATAGAAGTATGTTCACTACTGTAAAAGTTGAACCACTTTTCTCTGCAAAGTAGCCATAAGAATCCTGAAAGATTTGGTGATACTTACTAAAAATGCTATAAAGTTAGCAACATATTTAAAAACTACTAGTTTTTCTTGAAGTAATAACTTTATTTAATCAAAAGAAAGTAAAATTCTTCTTTAGAGTTGATAATAGGTCCTAAATCTAGAACATGGGAAGTGTAAATCTTGAAAGTAACACAAATAAGAGGCACTTTAAAGACCTGTAATGAGTCCCCACCTATTCAACAGATGCTACCTGAACAACAGAAAGAGCTTCAGCAAATATTTCTCTTTTAATTCATATTTGCATAGTCTGCATATGTTTTCAAATGAAATTGTAAAGGTTAGGGCCAAGGTTTTTTGACTCAGATTGATGTTAAAGCTTTTTAGCTAGGCTTGAAGAATATCAAGTAAGGATCAAAAAATACAGAAGTTATCCCCCCAAAATAAAAGAATATATACTCCAGCTGCTTCACAAAGTAAAGAAACTTTTATTTTACCCACATGAGCCAATATGCTCTGGTTTGTTTAGGGTTTTTTTATCCTTTATAAAGATAGAAAGAGATTCTAGACCATGTTGAAGAGTATCTCATATTGTTCAAGGTGAGCTACTAATATAATAGTTTTTTTAATCCCCATATGTGATAACCTTAGCCTTTTACATTTCTTACACAGGTTTTGTATGAGACATGTAACTATATTTCAAGTTAATCGATGATGCATGGTAAAAGAATCACAGTGACATAAGTATGTATGAGCCATAATATTCAGAGTTGAAGAGTCTCATAGTGACACTGTGAGGAGAAAAATAAATAAATAAAACTAATACAACTTTAAATATCTGTGTAAACCATTTTGGTATTTCAAACCCTAAAAATACTAAAACACCTCAGTCATACTTACATGGTTAAAAACATTTATGTCTACTGGACAATCTAATTTTCATTGCATTCACTTGTGTCAAATACTCCTCAGATGTTCATAGCCCTCGACTGGGATAGCTGAGCTAGGAATAGCAAGACCATAAACTCTTCTCAGGTTTGCTTCATTTAACAGCAGCCCCAGTAACATCATGCACTCTTCTTCCTAATAGAACCCCTCTCCATCCCAGCTGGTGCACACAGAGGTGGGATTCTGAATTCCTGCACATTGTCTCTCACTCTGCCTTCATGCTGACACTTCTCATCCTCTCTTCATGTTTCTTCTTCAGCCCTTCCCCCAGTAGTACTGCTTTGCTTTCACTCAGCTTAATCTGGCTTCCTGGACTGCTTTCTAACTTTCAAAAGCAGTAATTTAAAATATTGAGTATTCAGTTAGGAATTAAAAAACAGAAACTCTGTGTCAGACAACTAATTCCCTAAGTCCACTGCAAATTAAGTGCAGCTCCATACCCTGGAGAGTCTACTCTACTCAAGAAAGGCTACAAAGCAAGTAGAATATGAAAGAGTCCTGTGCCAAAAAGGTAGGTTTGTAGCTAAGTAGAGCCTGTCAGCCACCCTTGAAATTAGGAGGTAGAGCCCCAGCTGATGTCACCCACTTGTTCAGGCAATTTAGGCACCTTCTGCAAGCAAATGGAAATAGTCCACCTAAAACATGAACTGCATTTGGGAGGTGCCTTATCTCCCTTTTCCTGTCTTCCTAGGAAAACTAACCTAGGTGTCTCAGGTGGAGTGACTTTGGGCTGACAAAAGTAAAATTAAAATCCAGATTACCACAAATCTGTCTTTAGTGACCATGAAGAAAAAATATTGATAAGAAGTTAAAAATTAATTTACCCCAGTTTATTTATAGCAGGTCCATAGCAAAGGCAGATCCTTCACTCTCACAAAACTGTAATTTGGTAAACAAAATTTATTAGAAATATTAACTTATTGGATATTTTACCCTCCATCTACAAATCAATTTATCTCACTTTTGTCCATATTTTGCCTCCTTTGGCAAGTGTGTAAGGCACAGATATTCACACAATGAAAACATTAGGATTTCCCTGGTTTCTTAGGCAACTGAATGCTGTATACTAAGTAATGAAAGTGTTCAGTGATGATGAAATACCTTTTTACCTCATTAAGTAGCTAATCAGTTATTTCAGTATTCTGTAAAACTCTGATTCAGTTCAATGCTGATAGTAATTAAAACCTCAAACACAGTACACTGTTTGGATAAAAACTCAACTGAACTTTTTCCTGGAAGACTACATAAGAGTTCTTCAGAAAACATATTACTTCTTTGAAGTACAGATCCTTTTTCCTATTTAATACAATTCCCAAGTTAAATAACATCTTTGACCAAAACAAACTGTAAGAAAACACTAGCAAGAAACTTACCATTTCTGAGCATTTTCCAAATTGCTCTCTTCTTTTTTACGCTCTTCTTTAGCTGCCAATGAAAAACATTTTAAAGATATAAATTACTGCCTTACCATTTTAGAGATCCCAGAGATTAAAGATCTCTTACATTTAAAATTGGATAGTTTCTATACTAGATATAATAAAAGTGATAAACACTTGCTAATTTTCAATTTTTAATTATTTCCTGTACCTAATGAATGCTTCTAATGTACCAATAAAGTGTATAGGATTTGATACGTAATTTAAAATCCGTATTATAATATATGGTGGTAGGTGTTAATATAAAGTAAATAATTAAACCTGACTTTCAGATTTAAAAAGAAAATCATTAAGTTGTGTATGTTTCTATATTGTTGTACATCAAAATTTACAAATTTAAACCTGTTTCTGCAGGACAAATAATTGGAAGTTCAATTGGAGTTGAACAGGTACCGAACATAATTACAGCTCCATATAGCTACCACATTTTATTCTGGAAGCTGTAAAGTGAAAATACTTTAAATGTACGGTACATACATGACTTTTTTTGAAAAAGCAGTCAAGAGTATGAAATACGGTTAGTGAATCTGAGTCTCTCTGTTACAGAATGCTCAAAAGAACTACTTAAAAGGATTTGATTTTCAGAAGATAGGCATTCTCTACTGTTGAAAATGTTTCCTGAGCTGGATATTCAAAGCAAAAGCACTAGTTTTTTGTTGATCATGTCTTCTTAATACAGTGGAGCAACTTCGGCTGCAGTAGAATACCACATATATAACACAATACTATCGTGGAAAAGTTGTTACTAATCCACATTAGAATAATTCTGTAAGTGCTAAAGTTAATATAAACAGAATTCAGACAATTCTATATAGAAAGATAAAGAAGTGCATCTTTTTACTGCTCAGTCTATAGGAGTGGCTGGTTGAAATACAGCTACAAACTGGAGTTCACAGACAAGGACATCGAGAAATTGGTGCCGAATGACTCTATTTCATTATAAAGCTACTGACAAAGAGGTTTGTACTATGACAATGAAAAAAAAAACAAACTAAAAAATGGATTACTTCAGCACATTTGCTGTTAACAAAACAAATTGATTTCAATTCATATGCTTCCCTATGTTGGGCAAATGTGTTGGAGATACTCAGATTATTTCAGTATGGCAATAGCCAGAAACAATGTTGTGTGACCTTTGCAAGGAAAGCAATTAATTCTATAACATTAGATTTTCTACCTCAAACCTTGGTGGCAAGACAGCTGCAATTGAAATAGATAGGGCAGTTCTGATTTGTTTGCATTCATCTCAATCTCCTGAAAATTCAGCCAAAGTTAACCTACTAAACTTAATTCATTATTTGACAGGTCTTTCATTTTATATCATTAAAAGCAGAAAACATAGGTTGGAATTCTGATGATTCATAATGATACAAAATAACTGTATAAGCTGAACTGTGTATAAAATTCCACACTTCATTATTACATTAATAATTTCTTTCTGCTTGTCAAGGAGATGAAAAATTCAGTAGGGCAAATTTATCAACATAACTACATTCCCAGCTACAACAGAAATTGAGTATCTTCAGGTCCCTGCACACAAAACACAGTAACTAACAAGGACAAGGTGCTCATACGTATATAGTTAGGTGGCAAGACCTGACCTACTGTCTTTTGATCTTGTAAGAACAGAATAAGGAAAGATAGCGGAAAGAAGTTTTAATTTGTTAGAGAGAGTAAAAAAAAAACAACTATGTGGCTTTTAGGAAGGAACACACAACGTTTACATTAATATAACAGTGTGTGTGTTTATGTACCAATAAGAGGGAAAAGAGGAAGGAAGAAATACTTTATTTTCTGACAAACAGTATTTTTCATATTTTTAACTGTAAAAATGTCCACCTAGGAATTGTTTAAAAGCATTTATTGGAAATTCAGATGTTGAGATTTGTTAAGAAAATGAATTGGCAACTCTATATAACAAATTATAAGTAAATAGGAGTTATAAATATTACATAATGTGTAGGACAAGAAACCAGAGCAATTTGTTAATCTTCCATGAAATTTATAACTGATTTTCCACTCAGAATTTGTAATATCCTGCTCTTTTTCTCCCTCTTCACAACTGCAATAACTAACACAATCCATGCTGTCAGCAAATGTTTCCATGAAACACTGTATTTTCCTCAGGAGTCCTCAAAGACCCATAATCAAGATATCAGTCTTATCTAAATTTGTGGAATTACTGAAGGCAATTAAAATGAATTACATAAATGAAAGAACTTATTTCTTTTTATTTCTCTAGCAACACCACACTTGCTTGCACAGAATTTGCTTTTTGCAGAAGTGGGATCCTGTAATTCTTTCACCATTAGGCCACATGGTTGATTTCAGTTTCCTCAGTTTCCTAAAGTTAAGAATATATTAACAGTCATATCAGACTGGCACAGGGATTTAACCAACCTAATATCCTGACCCTGGCAGGCACTGAAGCAGGTGCTCAGTTAGATTTATGGGCCAGGACAAACACACGATCCTTCCCCTGAGTGTTCTCTGCCTCTGAGATTCTGTAGGTCATACAAAATGTTTCCTGCACTGGATGCCATTTTAGTGTAATTCTCAATGGATTCCCTCCTAAGAACTTGCTCATTCTCTGCCTAAGCTTTTAGAAGCTTTTTAGCTTCCAAAAACTTGCTGTGGCAGGAGTACTATAGCCTAACTATGTGCAGCAAATATTGTTTGTTTTGAAATGGACATTTCCTTTCACACTCTATTTCTTGTATTAGAGAAAAGCATGACTGCAGTGAACACTGAAATACAGTGACGATTGGCATAAGCTTTTTAATTAGGATGCTTTTGAAGCAAATTTCCTCACTGTTCCCATTTATTGAGCATTGATTTGGTTTGCAGATAAGTTCTGGTGCTTGTAAACTGATTTCCATTAGGAGGAAACTAAACAAGAAGCTCAACATGAAATACACTCCAATACTTAATAGGGACAAAGGGACTGAAGTAATATTTGAGCCTTCAGACAGCTTTGAAACAAGAGGTGGAGATGTTCACCTCACAGTAAATCTAACTCAGAGTTTAAATCTGTACTGCAAACACACTGCTGAGCCAATCCTACCCCACACACATCTCATGATGTAACCACAGATGTACTACCTTACATGTATACAGATTACATAGGGGTCCTTCAAAAATACTTCCCCAAAGCCGCATTTGGTATGGAGATACCCTCCTGTCTGGTCTTCATTCAAGTCATTAGTCTTGACTAGTTTTGAAGATGAAAGGAAATTGTCAAATGTAAAGTTTGCTGTCTAGTCTAACATCTAAATGCAAGTTCTTAATAAGTTCCACTGTTGGATTAGTCCATATCCTGATAAAGTATCAGATCCTGTCCTACAAGAAGCAGACAATCTTAGTCAATATAACATCTTTGAATACAGATATGAAAGTCAGGATCAACTAAGAACTGCTGTGTCTTTCTACAGAAAAGAGTTTTGAAAGGAAAACAGGTATTTACAAAATATACAGTTCTAATTTGCTGTAAGAAGTTATTTGTAATACAGCTGCAGACTCTGAAGACCAGCCACGAGTCTTACTCATCTTGCTGTCTGTATCTAGCTCAGAGAATAAGCAAAAAAAATGGACTATGATCTTATGAATTTGCCTTATGAATCTAAGATGTTTCTAAGACTTCCTTCTACTGAAATGGAGAAGTGAGCACTTGAAGATTCATGACCCTGTAACAGTTTTAAAAGTGAAATGGTAAAATGGTAAAAAAAATCCACCAGCTTATTTCTTCTACATATTCTACTTGCTGAGGATGGAACAGCATGTGAAACACTATATTGAAAATGAGACATTACCAGAAAATATTTATTTTTAACAGGTCTAATATATGCACAGCAGCTTCCAGTTACAACAAAATGAATACCTCTTCATGTATTAGGCTACTATGAAATAGTTCCCTAAAGAATGAAGGAAAGAAAAAAGTGGACACCAGCACAGACTGAAAATTGGAGAAGGTCAGTAACTAACAGAGGCAAGCACAGAATGATGATGCACTAAGAGGGGAAAATGAAGAAAGAAAAACTCTTTCTTGGGTACTCCCAACTTCACAAAAATCTGTTACTTCTGTCCCTCTAGTGAGAATACTCATTGATTCTGATGGATAAACTTTCTGGTATTTCTCTCTGACCTTAAATATAGGAATGCATATAAGAAGGATAATTCACACAAGTGTACTGATCTAGTTGTATCCATTGCACCTTTTTTTTTTTTTTATTTTTCAGTATCTTATTATTTTCAGAATTGAAAGATCTGATGCATAAAGTTTTATAAATTTTCTAAGCATTTTGGAGCAATGATAATCTTCAAAATTACAAGAAAACCTAGACAAGTAGCAATCAGGATGGAGACAATGGAACTCTTAGCTTATATTCCAAGGTTGAGTACATGCTTCATGAACTTTTAGAGACAGGTAAATTATAGAGTTTTCTGCATCGGAAAAACCCTAAAACAAGATATTTGATTTTTTTGGTTTTGCCTCAAGGAAGGAAATATGCTGTTTCTGACTCATGTCTTCCAACCAACCAGTTAAGATTAAGACAGAATCTAGGATAAAACATAGACAAAACCAACCAACAACAAACCAAACCAAAACTGCTAATGCCATTCCTTTTGTAACTTTTTAAAGCTTGGACAGAGACTGCTAAAACAGTGACAAAAGGTTATTAGGACACTTCTAGAGAGCCCACATTCCTTACTAGTCAAGACTAAAACCTCTTAGGTAGGCATGTTGAAAGGTAGTCAAAACATGAAACTCATCCTAGAAACATACTAACGCCCTAATCAAGGGCTGAGGAAGAAGAGTATATCTACAGAGAGGTTCAGCTGGGTTATCATTTTCCAAAGTGACAAAGTCACATTCTATGACTTTGCCAAGTAAGGAGAACAAACAACAACAGACCTTATTTTCTCACTCTTTTTAAAGCATAAAGACATACTACCATTTAATAACAGAGATCCAAATCTCTTGGATATTAT